TTTTTTTACGGCCGACCCCTTTCTTTTGGACGCTCACATAGACGTTTGTACCCGTGCCTCAGATCCGACTATCTCTTTTGTTCAGGTTGCATTGTTAAACTGTCGTTCTCCGTTACGGTTTGACCGTCTCGTCGCTTTTCGTTTGGTTTTGTTTGATGTTTGGACTTCTCACTTTCATCGACACCATATGTCTTTTACACCTGTCATGTGGAGTGCAGCAGTGATGAAAAAATCTGTCGGTGAATACGTCCGTCAAAATGCATTCAACTTATCGTCTTGCAACTCATGAGTTGCAAGACGATAAGTTGAGTGTCCGGAAAGCAACTTCACCCTGTAAAAAACAAGGTTTTTTGACCCTCGGTGCGTCGCGTCCGGGGCTAACCCCCCCCGTTTACCCACTATGTTGTATGTGCATGTATGTGCATTGTGTGCATTATGAATATTGCAATGTGGTCACCATTCAATCATATTTCTGGTTATTGTAGACACCATTCCATGCACGATCCCTGAAGCGCAATTTCACCCCTCCAGTATACAGCACTCAAAACTTTAGGCAGCCCAAGGCACTTGTCAATTAGTCGGGCTGTGATGTTGCAATATTCATCGATATTCTATCTGTCCTAGGGACAAAAAATGTCAATATACCTTGGTAGAACACCGCCTAAAATGGGCAGGATGCCTTGCCTTTGGGGTGCATGGTCTGGGAAAATATTTGCTTGACGCTGACTATCTGTTTGAATGGTTCAACCAAGGGGAGCAGGGATCGTGGCAAAAACAGGTCACAAGCAAGCAACCATGCTACAGCTGCTACAGGTGACAACACGAAGATCTGCCGGTATGCAACTGGACGAGAGGCCTTCAGTAGCCGCGAGTTCGATTGAAAGGCAGCCTGGGCACATCCAGTTCCATGATATAGGGCCCAGGCCAACAAAAGTCATTCACCCCCAGGCCAAACAAAGGAACTGACATAAGTCATGCCATTCATTGGAGGACCTTTCCATGTTCCCCAAGCATATTTGTTGCAATTTTCTCCACTATATGGTGTGTGTGTGTCATAAAAGCTCTTAACTTTTAACATATTTTAACTGAGCGCACCAATGGAGGTACAGTATATAGATCCTGTCGTGCCAACGGTCGACAACATCACAAGGATCATCAAGGATACACAGGGTATGAGTATGTCGTGTAAGGGTCTCTGACACGACTCCAAAAACATCTCTCCTCTGGTAAGCCAATCAACAAAAAAAAGAAGCTACTAGGAACAAGTGCATCGCTTCTAGTAACAAGCGCCTTACTAGTAGTGTGCACATCCGGATGGGTATACAGGACTTGGTCTCCGAGCAGCCTGGTGGTCGTAAAAAAGAAAGGATCGAGGAGCATGTGTTTCACGTGGAAAGCACCACATCAATGGAGAGAACAAATAACAACTGCAAATTCTACCTGAACAGTCATTAAATGTCATTAATTCTGAATCCAAGTCAATTCAATTCCCCATCTTCCAAAAACATGCACACATTTGCATGGCCATATACAAATGAACCCATTGGAACTTGATGGCCATGTGCAAATGAACCCATTGGAACTCCTTCAACTGCTGCATCTCTATAAATTGTGGGTCCCGCAAATGTTCTCGACGAGCCATGACGAGCCATGGTATCCACCAATTTGGTTGCATAGATTAGCAGCGTAACAACTCTGCCAATATCCTCTGAGTATGGATTCTGTAGATTGGGGCGCCGGGCTCAGCCCCCCAAAAGGAACCGATCCTTGTGAAAGGGTAGCAGGCCACAGCTTCAGGTTGTGGCCATCCTTTGGGGCCACACCCAATCGCCACACCCAGTTGCCCCAAATCCCCGCTGCGTTCATGAAATCATTGGATGGTGCAAGCGTGAGCTATCCTGCGTCCATATGTAGTAGCTTGCAGCTTACTTGTATAGGTACTAGCTACCTAGCTTCTACTAGCTAGCTAGATACTTACTACCTACCTCTACACGGAGGAACCCCGGAAAAAAATACAGTAATTCAAAAATTAAATTCTAATGGCTTTTTGTTACTAGTAGTAAGGCACTTGTTACTAGTAGAGCTCCAGTCACTTGTTTCTCGCTCCGGGTGGCCGAGAGCTCCGACATCTCCAGCGTGCCCACCGCGGAAGCTCCGGGACCCGTCGAAGCCGAGGACGACTGCCAGGAACGGTCGGTGAGTGGTGAGCGGTGAGCGGTGTCGGTGATTGGACCTTCTAGGCCCCACAAAATGGCGGACACCGAACAGTAGGGGTACAGGTCACCCATGGTCACCCCCATCCAAGAATATCCCAGAATCATACTTTATTGATTCCAGACCCCCTTTACATCGGTTTCGGAAATATCATCCACCCTGGTTTCACAGGGTTGGAATAGTACAAAACCAACAGCATATGCGGGATCGGGTCATTTAAGACAGCTCTATAACACTCTGCTGCAGGACGCACAAGGCACAAGACTGCTCACATCGCTGCAAACCGGGGGAAGCCAACTCCCCTCAAAACGCACCCCAATAATATCATTATATTCTAGCCTTCCAGCAATGGTATAATATACTATTCCAGCAAAGTGGTAACATTTTACGTCAGGCCTCCATACAAAACACTGATACACTCAAAATTAGTCCATACTATTCCAAACATATTATTATGGCATGTAACACCTCCCCTGGCATAAACAATTAGTGCGCCCCCGTCCTAATTACAAATTCATGAAATGAAGCTAGCCGCTGGGACATCTCGGAAGCTCCTGAAGTTGACCGGAAGAAGGGGGACGAGTCCTTGTCAGAATGGAAAGTCGTCCTTTGATTCAGAGTTTGCTGCCACGCATTGTGGGGCTACCAATATTTAACTCCGGATCCATTGAACACGAGATGTTCGTGGCAATGGGGGATAGACACCAGTCTCTCGAGAATAATGAAGAACAATGAAGAACATGCAAGAGTGTCGATCCTGGTAGAATGCATCATCGTTGCAAGTTGAATTCCCCTATTCTGTTTGGAACCTGCCCTGGCCCCTGGACGGCTTCTACCTGCCCCTGATCATGCCTCATTAGCAAATCTCATCAAGTAAGAAAAACACAAAAAGCTGGAACCAAAAATGGGAGAAGTGCCAGTACGGCAAACATGTTGAAGCAATTCAAAGTGTGCCGTGCCAGTGTCTGTGCATGTTATTTTAGAATGTTTTTGGCATCCACGGCTTCAGAAGCTGGGGAGACGAGTCCAACACTAGACCAAGCCTCTATTCTGCGTCTGTGTCTGCTCCAGTGTTACATAATGTTACATAGAATGTTTATGCAATATATGTGTGGTGCGGTGCAGTTCAAGCATTTTTTGTAGACGCAGAATACTGTAGTCCCAAACATATCATCTCGGTGGTGAAAGCAACACGCTTTGAGAGACATGAACAGATCCATACAGTATAATTCCATAATAAATAGCTTGGTGTTCAATGGTTTTCACATGTTTTCCACTGAAGTGCCTTTTTGCAGTATTCAATAGAGGATTTTGACTGAAGTTCGTGGAGCCAAGGCGGAGCACCCCGACATCTTCACCAAGGCACTCGCTGGTTTTCGTGGATCTGTTCGAGGGAATGTTTCCTGTCAATGTTGCGGCCACGAGAAAAAACGCGTGCCACGAGCACGTCGTACACAGAAGTGCAAACACATAGCATACTGTTGAAACATGTCGAATTGGAATTTGCAAACACTGTTAAACATGTCTAGAATTAACAACAGACTTCATGGCGCGCCGGGAAACTTCGAAGCAGCAAGTTGTTATTGTCAGTGGACAGTTTGGATGTGCAGTGAGGTAAAGTGAGCCACGGGGATTTCAAGCTTCGATATTCGCTTCGATTCCTGAAGTTTGCTGGCACTATTAGCCGTATTTCTTATCAGCCCTGAATGGTGATTTAAACTCTTCTTGAAACGCGAGTATTTAGCTAAGCTCGCTGAGCTTTATTGAGCTTCAAATGAACATACACGAGTGAGGTTTTATCAGAGTCTTCGAACATCCTTTCTTTGATCCAATCGGTGCAGTCAGAACGGTGCGAAGTCAAGGTCTCTGAATTTCCAACATGTCCAGCTGATCCATTGCACACAAACACGTACGACCCAAGCACCCATCGCAGCGCAAAGCTGCATGTCATGGTCTCCCAATTCTGTTTGGTGTTCCCCTAGACAATCTAATTGCAACTGCAAGTGCATCCTGCTCGCGTCAACACCTCTAGGTCACAAGTACTTCCAAATCAGTTCAACATTAAATTGTCAATGTAGTATGCTCAATTTTCTGACACTCGTCAATCTTCGTAGCTCGCAAGTTTTCTAGACTTTTCGACTGACCACCTGTCGCCTGGTGTTTGATTCACCCTGTCGCCTGACGAAGTGACCCTCTTCGCTGCCCAAGCCTGAGAAACATCACCATATCAACACATGCATGGTATGTCAGCCTGTTACAGGATGCCAAGGAGAAATCCAAACATGAAACGGATGTTTACAACATGAGACGCACATAGATACACATAATATAAGCCGAGAATCTGCCGCTTTCAACACAGGATATTTGGGAGAAAAGCTTCCAAGTGGACAAAATCACATTTGTGTGCTTGCACAAGGTCAAAACAGTATCAACAACAGTAGAATGAGTGTCAGCTTTATCGGTGTTGCGGAGGCCGTTGCTAGTAGGTTTGAGGCCATCGGTGGTAGGTTGGAAGCCATCGCTAGCCATCACTAGTAGATTGGAGGCCATCGCTAGTAGCTAGTAGGATGGAGGCCATCGCTAGTAGGTTGGAGGCCATCGCTAG